CCCCAAAACCCCAAAACCCCAAAACCCCAAAACCCCGAGGTAGAGTGGATATTGAGTTACTGACAAGTCTAAAATATTGCACATGATGAGTTGCATCTGGCTTTCTCTCAGCATTGCACTTCTGTGTCGTGTGCTTCTCTGTGTGAAGAGAAGCCCTTGCTTTGCTTTGATAGCTTGACTCGAGAAATCTCGGCCCCCGAAGTGCTAAGCGTTTGAGTTACCATACCTGGACATCTGGGGTCTGGCTGATGTGAATGATCTTGTTCTTGGTTGTGTTGACTACGTTGTAGACTTGGATTCAGTACTGTTGGTTGTTCTGAAGTAGGTTCTGGAATTGGGTCTGATCAACACCAGGATTGCTGAAGATAAAGGTTATACAGAGGATACAGCCAATAGTATCGATCATAAAGTATTGGCTTGATTTGGTGACATATTAGAAAAGAAGATATATTAACAACATTGAAAGTTTGTTATCAAAGATGGTACTATCAAATTTGATTATCAATACTCGAAATCAACACAATTATTTAGAATAGGTACAGTACTATAGCATCCATACTAATCTAATGTTAATGATAAACTTCGAACAGATGCCTACTTCGATTGGGCTTCCTCTGAATTTCTGTTCATGCTTAGCTGCTGAGGCCTCTTTGATTCCTCAGACTTCTTGTGTTTGCTATTCCTCTTACTTGGGCTTTTCTTCCGCGAACTCGAGCGAATGCTTCAGTTGTTGGGCTTGTCAGGAGTCACTGAATCTGAGTTTCTTTCATTCTTGCCAGAGGCTGACAAATCCCTTAAAAATTTCTGCTCTTCAGCCTTGTTTTTGTTGCGAATAACTCAGATATTGGCTTGATCACCCATCCCTTGTGAACTCGGTTGGACTTGGCCGATACTTTCTTTGAACAGACTGTGAGTGACCGGAATGAAGTTGTGGGAATTCCTAAACATAAAGCTGAACCTACACGAAAAGTCTTGCTTCCGTTTATCTTGAAATCATGCTACAGGTGATGCTCAGACTTACAGTTGATGTTTGCTTCAATTTGTTTTGGCCTTACTTTGGGTAGATGATGTTCTAAAAGTCAGCCCCAAACATACTTCTGACTGACAAAGACTAAATGCTGTCAGCAGCACGAAGAGTCGCTATCTTCTTAATGCGACTTCTGTTCAGACTCTCACTGACTCGTTTGCCTAAAATTGAGTTGGCGTTAACTTCACCAGTCTTTTTCTGAAAAACATCAACAAGGCCAGAAGGACAATATTTGAGCTTGGTAGGCTTGATCTCAAGGTTCTTTCTGAAGTTCGACTTCAGTTGTCTTTGATTTGACTTTGACTGGAGCTGAGGCTTTGTTTGCATCTGAACAATTGACATTTCTTTGACAGTGAGTCCGCGAAATTACTGGTTCCTCATGTGCATCGGAGCATCAAACTCTATAGGGTCAGTGCCATGCATTAGAATGAGTACCTTGATCATTTTGTTTCTTGACTTCGTCTGTGTTGTCTCTGACTCTGACATTTGAAGAGTAACTTCTATTTATTCAGTTTCCTGTAAGCGATTTTAGGTCCTTTCCCGATGACTCTCTGCTTACTCACAGGTTTCTCAACTTTATCTGAAACCAAAGAGAAATACTCTGAGTTCTCACCAGAATTGTCAGGTGAGTCTCATGAGTTGCTGGAGCCTTTAGCTGAGATACACGAAACCGACTTGTGGTCTTGACTCTGGTAGTTCTCATACACAACTTTGTACTGAGAATTGTCAGACTGGACATACTTCTTTCCGAGGTGTTCTGCTTCTTCAGCCAACTCAAGCCAATCGGTTGTGGGTGTGAGTTCGAAGTTGCTGTCTGAAGTCTGTTTGAGTTTCCAGCCAGATGGAACAGGCACTGGACATTCTGAGCAAGTAATTCTAGTCCACTGGGTATGCTTCTGTAGCTGGTGTTTCAAGTAGGCTTTGAATTCAGCTCAATGTACCAAAAAGTGTCTGTAAGTTTGGACCATTTCACTGTATTTTCGGTGGTCAAAGTGTTGTTGGATTTGATCACAAACTCAGAAATCTTATCAGCTTTGACTAACTCTGCATTTGTCTGCAAACTGTGAGCTTTCTCAGCCATTCTTATTGATAGTTTCCTACTTGTACACAAAAAACCATCAAGAACAAGGTTTCAGTCAAACACTTCTCACTGAAGTCTAATAGAACTTGTATCACAGACTTTAAGTCTGCACACTTCTCAATGTGTTCTGTGATGCTTGCAAACTCTGAATTATTAGGTAGATTCATCTTAATGTGATCAGGTTCCATTATAAATATTTATATCAACATTGCTGAAACCATGCGGGGTTTTGGGGTTTTGGGGTTTTGGGG